TGATAAAAATCAGCGCAGTTGCATTGTCTCACACTGATCTCACCATCTGCCTGAAAATTTTGAAATCCAATTGGAATCTTGGGTCAATCAGATCCACAGATACTCAGCAGCCTGGTCCTGAAAGCCTGTAGCTGAAGAACTCTTGATGTCTTCAGCAACAGTTTCATGCAGAAAGCACACAGGACCAAGCCCTAAATCTCTTTGCAGGTGGTAAGTCAGTATTTCTTTTCCACAAGGTTCAGAGCTGAGAGGTGCTAGTGGCATTTCAACCATAAGTGGATTAAGGACACCCAACATTACTGGAACCTAACTTACCAAGGAAAGAGCAAGCCTAATGCACTTTTTTTTAACTAGGCTTGTAATTATTTTTAAACCAACCATACGAGGGTGTGTTTCTATTTTCACAGCCTGTAATATTATGTCACAGAAAAATGACAGATCTATTGTGAGTAGCATATCTAAGTAATATTTTCTAACAAAGTGATGGATGTAATATTAATGTACCTAATTGTTTTAAAAAGTAGAAAACACGTACAATTACAAGCAAAACCCTGCTCAAGTATATAGCTTGCTTGCAATTACCCTTAATGCTGTATGTATTTTTAAACAAGCTATAATACTGCGATGATGCTGTAAAACTTACTTCTGTAGGCAAAAAATGTTCTATTTAAAAATGTCAAGATGAAGGATGTAAATGTTCTTAAAGTGCTATCAACTAAAAATATGAATTTTCACAGAATATTCTAAAGGTTTCTGTTACATGCTATAGATATATCATACACACTAGTCTATGTGAGAACAAACAGTACTATTTTATTACAAAATAAATGAATAAATAAGCAGTGAATATCCATGCCCAGAAGCTGGAATTTTATTTTTAAGGTACCCTGATCAATTCTATAGGTAATTTGACCAATAGAGGACCTAGTACCTTCCTAACAGGAGGTATACACTCCCCCTCATTTCCCAGCCTCCACCCATACAGATCAGGCTGCTGTCAGTGCCCACAAAGATCTTCAGAATCAGTTGTGGAAGAAAAAGGAACAGTTAACATAGTTGCATAAAATGTAGTATTCCTAAGATTAATATATGTATACACAAAATTAAAAAACATTTTTTAAACACAGTGGCACTGAGAATACCAACTCTGTCGCAGGCATTAACAATTTGCATGTAGTGTCTTGGTTAGCTCTTATTGAGCAGAGACAAAAAAGTCACTCTCTGAAAATCATACTGAATGGTAATAAAATTACAGTTTGAAGAATGAAAGTATATTTCAAAATGCTTTAAAAATACATAGGTGGAAGCACACCAGCTCTTGCTAGAGTATGTATCTATGCTTTGGAACAACTGCACTGAAAGCTATAATTCAGGTTTTTACTAAAGAAGAATCTGGGCACTGTGTCAGCTAACAATTTTACAGAGGAACATGATCCCTTCCAGCAAGAAAACCTTGTCCTCATTGCCACCAGTTTAAAATTTTTGTCAAGCTCCCAATATGAATAAATGGGAGCAGCTCCTCCTCTTGGAAGCTGATCAAACAGGCTATAGTAAAAAAAACCCAAACACCACCAAAACAACACAACACCCAAAAACCTGACTCCTGCCACACAACAAACCCATGACCGTGAGACGGCTTTATGAAAAGGCAGCGGCCCCAAGGGGGTCTGAAGCATTTCAGTTTGTAGTTTAGCTTCAGAGAAAGATTCAAGGACAACTGGACCAGTGGGACTAGGTCCTACCTGGCTCCAGGTGATCTTGCTCGAGCAGGGGGTTGGACAAGATGACCTCTAGAGGTCCCTGCCAACCTCCACCACTCTGTGACCACGTATTTCACAAGGAGCCAGAAATCAGTATTCAAACATATTTATCTTTGTCCCCAGTTCATATCCAGGTAAATCAACTGCACTAAAACCTCATTCCCATTCAAACACACGTTAGAAGCCTATCATGAAAGAGATGCAAGTTCACCCTAGAGGAGAAACAAACACAAAGCCCCATGACCTACAGATGGTTAGAAACAAGGCTGTGGAATAACACAATTAACCTAGAAGCCAGGTTAATGTTTTGGGGTTTTTGTTGGGTTTTTGTTTTTGTTTTTACAGAGAAAGCTAAAGCAAATGAAAGTGGCAATTACATTGCTGTACTCCACAGGAAACTGATTTTAATGATAATTTGAGAAATATAAGTTTATCCAAAGGGTCAGTTATAAAGCATAACTTCACGAAATCAGTTATCAGCATACATATAATATAAAACAAAGTATCTACGAAACCCCCTTGAATATTTGTATAAAGTTTGGAGCAATAAACTCTACTACATCACAAATCATTCAGAAGATTAAATAATGCAACTATGTGCAGCATGAAAGCTAGAAACCAAAAGCTTCAAAGTACTTTTAATAGGGAGACTGATTTGTTTCAGTACTACAGCTGCTTACCATATGAATCACCCTTGATCCACCTTGCTCCTTTTTGCCCCAGCAAGCACAAACAAGGGAGCAGGTGAATAAATATTTTTTGACCATCCTTTTAGAGTGTTTCTTTGGCTAAAAAGAAAAATCTGCTGCTGAGGAAAGGAAGGGGGAAAGCTCCTGTGAAGGGAAAAAGGAAGAGAGATTATCTACTTTCCCCCCCACTACGCCCTCTATGTCAGAATTTTTGGATCTCTAGTCTCAAACATTGCAGGATTATTAAATAAATTATTTAGAGACTCAGATCATTCATTCCACTGTACACCCCTAACAGTTGCTACAAGAAAACAGAAGACAAACACTTAGATCTTGGAGTCATTATTGATGAAAAATGAAAGAACTGTAGTGAGCAGGAGGAAAATGCATGTAACAGACATAAGCAAAACATGTTTTGATTTTTCAGAGGAGCTACCTGAATTATCTTTGTAACATTTATGCAGACAACCAAGTAAATGCACTGTGCTGTGCCTTTTACAGACAAATATTGTCAGATGCCTAGCCCAAACAGCTCATAGTTCAATGTATTTACATAAAGGCTTGACAAAAGAATTGCAAAGAAATATTTCAGTATTTCTAGAAAAGCATCTATGTACTGAAAGCAAAAATATCAAAATGCTTTCTTCTACTTATAAAAATGATCAATCTATATTTAGAGCCCTGGAACTCACTTTCTGTGGTTTTTGTAAGGGCTGAAAGCTACACAGACTGGCAGTAACAACAAAATTACATTTGCAAAGGATTCAATTCCTGATCACAACTTCTACATCCAACAGCCTTTACGAGACTTCCAATGGAGTACGGGGCATCCTTTGCCTGGTGTTAAGCAGATTGCTAGAGACTTCAAAAGGTCTGAGAGAAATGGAGAGTGTCACCCAAAGCAAATAAGGAACAGAGATGGGATGTTTGAAAAGAAAAGGTTTATAAGATTGGCTGGTAGGAGATTTAAGGGATTTAAACATTTCTCAGGATTACAGAGCAATGGGAAGAAACACGCAGAAGTTTATTCATTCTATAGGTAGCTATGTAATCCACAGTGACAATTCAAAAGTTAAAGTCAAGCCTAGGGGAATATTTTTGACAGAGTATTAAATCTGCTGTTTACAAGAGACCAGAATAAACTGTCGCTGAAGCAGTGACGACAACTAGCTTTGAACAACTTCGGGCTGCACTATGTTTCCACTTGGGGCTTGACCTACTCGGGATCAACTCCCAGTGAAATCATTCAAGGTCAGTTTTCAAGCAGGAAAAGGCAGATACTTGCTAACAAAGGTGGGCCCATCCACCTCTAAATCCTAGCATTTCTTTGCAAGTTTTACTTGTGGGAAGTGAAAACAAGAGGCTAAACAGCCCTCAAGCACTCTTATAAACAATACACAGCACAGCAAACTATATGGGTATAAACTACAACACCAACTTCAACAATACATACACTTGTCCCAAAATGGGAAAATAAAACGCAACAGTAAGATTTAATCATATTTTCTTTGTAATCAAAATTCAGTAGGAGTTCATAGATAAGGATACTCCTTTAAGATTTACATCTCTTTCAGCAATCTAAACGCACAGAAGTCAGGAAACTGGAGACTGATGAGAGTCAGTAAATTTATGGCTCACACAAGTCCAACAGCCACAAAGTCGCCACAAGAGCAATGCAATGAGCTCTTGCTGTCAGCCATAATCAGACAGGTGGGCTGCCTTTGTGCTCACGGATCAGCATACATCTTTTCAGGCTACAACGAAAATGATTTCATTGTCTAGCCCCCCGAGATACCCAGCACAAAGCCATTTCATTTGGATGTGCACTGGATACCAATCTTTCACCCAGATATACTCTTCGAAAGAAGGTAACTTTGCCATCTCGAAAAATCACAGAAAATTACAACAAGTTCCAAAGTATATTCAAAAAACTGTCAAAAATATTATTTGGCATCTTATTCCAATTTTAATCTATGTTGTTTTTCTCTTCCTAGACACCTATCCTATATAGGTTCTATGATTAATTTATTATCATTTCTTGTCCTGTTGGCATCCTCAGTCTTGCTGATTAATTTCTGTTATAGTTTCATTATTTCAGTTCTATAAATACCTCGCTTCATTTTACTCCTTTCTACAGTTACTTTGCAACCTTCTTTTTCTCCTCCACCTGGGGCACTCACTTTCCATTTAACATGAGACAGTGGGGAAAGACTGAGCTGAAATCCAGTAATTACACCTCCCTGCTCTGAAAAACCGAACCATTTATTTTTCTTACGGATGGAAGGAGCTGTGAGCTGCTCTGAAATCCCACAAACAATCCCTCAAAAAAACAATACTTATTACTTGGCAGATTAATAATAGAAAGTGTTGGCTTTGGAATTTAAAAAACATATACAGCTGGATTACAATACATTGCAACATTTGCATTTAGGAAGAATAAAGAAGTGAATCATAACCCAGATGCCAGCATGCTGGGCATTATCTGGCTCCACCTGCAAGAATATTAAACCACCACCCAATTCATCACTGACAAAACAGGTTTTATCCACAATCATTGGCATTCAGTACAACTGCCTGCAGAAGATTCTCCCAGTTCTTTATGCCCTTGAGTTGTGTTTACTACTTTCAAGCTGTCTATTTTCTGACCTTTCAGCCTCTGCCATAAGCTCCTGGGATCCTCTGAAGGTTTGGGAAAGCTTCTGAGTGCTTCTCCTAGAAGTGTAAGCACATCCTGAAATAAAAAGGAAACAGAAATTACTTGGTTTTGTATTCCTGTCATTTCTCATGTCCTGTATCACAGGTCTACCACTGGCAGCTACATCCAGTGCTTGAAAGCAACTAGGGAGGCAGCACTCATCAGCATAATTGTGCTGGATTTTTAAAGCACCCTGTTTAAAGTGTGGCCAGTGATCTGCCCCATAAAGCAGGTTTCTACACTAAGGAGGGGAAGGAAAAAGCAGCTGGCCTTTTCAGGGAAGCTGGGAGAAAAACAAGAGAGAAAAAAGTGAAACCTCACTTGAGACTGAAGTTCTCCAATCTTAGCTATGGAGTGAATGAGTCAAAAATCAAGAGACTGGCATTATTAGGAAAAAAACGAATGCGCACAAATTCCCATCCTGCTCACAGACACAGAAAGACAGATCTTGCAGCTTCAGAGAGCACTACTTATTATTCATTGCTTAGAAACAACCTTTCTGATTCCCTTTCAAAAAGTGAGTGAAGAGTTCTTCCTTCAGGAAAACAATCATCCTGAGGAACAGACACCAAAGACCAAAGGAATTGTCTAAGTTTCAGCTTACATTGCCTACCATCTGCTCCAGAGGCATTTCACCCACAGAATCACCTAGATGGGAAAAGATTTTTAACATTAAGTCCAATCATTAACCTCACACTGATAAGTCCCCGACTAAACCATGTCCCTAAGCACGTCTATGTGACCATTAAATACCTAACGATAAACCTCTAATCCTTGTGGCAGCAAACACAGACAGAAGAGAGTTCTTCCAAGAAGAAATCTCAGTGCATCCGAGAGGCTTTGGCCTCCATAACATGTGGCAGCGTCCTGTTCCGAGACTCCTACGCCAAAGGATGAGTAAGGAGGACTAGTGTGGGCACAGTTACCTCATATCACATCATTTTGTTATTTACCATTTTGTCTTGGACAGCCCATCAGAAAACAAACTGTGGAGGAAATAATCAAGATGTGCCCAAAATAATTTTAGGACCTTCAGCTTATATAAATCAGGTAAATGCAAACGACTTGAGCAGTATGTTAGCCCCAAGCATTTTATTGATGATAGGGAGCCAAATTCTATTTGACTTGCACTGCGTTCAGGTCAATCTGATCTCACTACCATAAATCAGAGGGAAATTTGGCTTACAGATTCTTTAGTTAGAGTATATAGAAAATGTACCACAACTTTTTTTAAAACAACATTTGCTTACTCTGGAGTAAAGCTGCTCTTCAAATTTCTCTTGGAGTAAAGCACTTTCCATTAGAATTTTCTTTCGTCTGAGAAAAGTAATCTCAGCTAACTCTGCTTTCTTCTTCTGACAGTCAGGGCACACTGAAGATTCATGGATTTGCGCTTCCACCACCTGAAAGACGAGACCTTGATGCAAGATGGTCACTCCATTACAAACAATCAATAAAAACACAAATACCGATACTGTCTAAAGACAAAACTTTTGTAAGCAGCTGTACATTATTTCATAATCTTTATCACACTATCATCTTGATGAGCCTGCTTGAATGTTTTCACACTAAATATATTTGATTTTCCCCAGGTATTACCCCATCCAGCAGCGAGAACTTGGGTATAAGTAGATAATTCTAAATTAAAACTCAGAACTATACCACTGATCTGTAAGATACTATTTCTCCTTGGAATAGGCAGTTTTCTTGATGCTTGAGAGAACTATACCACTGATCTGTAAGATACTATTCTCCTTGGAATAGGCAGTTTTCTTGATGTTGCACAGACATTACTGACTTCTTCCACAGAAACTATAATGGTCAAAAAAAATAAAAATTAAAAATGAAGCCATGTGATTGCCAAGCAACACATCAGTGACCAGCCAAAACCAACTGAGAAGACGCAGTTACGCTGGCAGAAAAATTGTTTTAGTGAGTGTAACTCCTCTGACCCTGAGTAGATCCTCAATACAAATTACAATTTTGCCAGTGTAATCTATACATATTTTGCTAGTGTTAAATATGTTTAGAGCACCACCAGCCATTAGTTACTCTTGCTTAATGAGCACCTGAAGTTCCAGGAAGCCAGTCTGTGCACACTAAACAGTTTTCCACAACAGCAAATACACTAATTCCTGAAGGCTTGATTAAATTAATGTGTTTTACTCCACATTTCAAATATCTGATCATCACAACTCTGTAACAGCAATTGTTAATCAGCAGTAATTCCACCATATATAACTGCCTGTCTGTAATGAGGCTATAGAACAGCAGTGTTCCTATGCTGAGAGCATACATGAGGCTTTAAATACCAACCATAGAGGATATAAGTTATCTTTCCAAATTCTAAGAGGTAAATAACACCAAAGCAATTAGTTTAAATATCTATATGCAGCTCTGAGTCAGAATACAAACAAAATTCAACAGTTTTCTTTGTAAGATGAACAGTAACACTTAATTCCTATGTTAATGTATCCACCGTGAAATCCTAAGCATATTTAACAGCATTAGACAAATCCCAGTATTTGTGCATTTATGCAATATCAATAATTTGACCCGATTTAATTTACACAGATTCCATCTGGTTACCTAAACGCAGTAAGTTCCTACAAAAGCAGTGGAATCAAGCCTAGAAAGTCAAGTCTTAAGCCCCTCTCTCTTTTTCCTTGATTCCTTCTCCTCTGCACAAAAATGTTATTATGTGGAGGTAAACACAGAAGCAAATAGACATAGCAGTCATTTTCCCTAGAAAATAGATTACCACACCGTAAGAAAAATAAAGAAGCTGTAAAAATTCTACAAAATTTGGATGGTGGGTTGGTTAACATTAATACAATAAAAGAATGCAGGTTGCTGAAATTTCAAAACAATTTAAACAAACAGGAAGCCTGAAATAATCATCACGCCAGAACTGACTTTAAAAGTACTGCTCCCTGCTCACCTGGCACAGACTTTGCAGAGGAATGTGTTATCACTTTTACTACACAACATGGGAATAAGTTAAAGGCAGCAAATGTGATAGAGAGAAAAACTAAATTACTGTAATTACTATTCAAAGCTCATTTTTTGTTTTATCAGAAATACCTTCCCAGATGCAGACATTCTGTAATAATTTCAAACAAAGTATAGACATTTGCCAAGGCCCAGATTTATGAGTAAAGGCATCTGTAGGTAATGGTCACTACTCAGATCCACAGAACCA